CCCGCGCCGCGTCCGGGCGGCCGCGGCCAGTGTATTTACTAAAAAGGTGAGGTAGATGAGCGGCCGGGAGCAGGGCCGGGTCCGCCGGGCGCAGAGCTTTCCTCCTGACAGGCAGCAGCGGGCGGGGAGGGTCGTCCAGGCCCAGCCAGAGTTTGTTCTCCTTCCAGAAGCCCGCGAAGGGGTCGGCGGGGGCGAGCTCCGGCCGGAGGCCCGCGGGTGACAGCGCCCGGCTGATTTTCCTCCGCTTCGTCCTGAGGACCCGCTCGGTTTTGCAGGAGGTGTAGAGGGCTTCCACGTCCTCTCTGGAGATCAGGGTGCATTTGGCGGCGTGGAAAGCGATGGAGTTGATGGCTTTGAGTTTCCTCAACTCCTCCAGGTCGCAGTGATGCTTTTTGACTTTTAAATGATCCATTCGCTTGTGCACGGTAGTTCGCGGGATGTTTTTGAGCAGGTCTGTAAAAACCTGGGAGAGTGCAAACATTTGCTTTCCTTTAATGATGAGGTAGCCGAGCCTCACGCCATCCACCTCTTCAAAACCCGACTTCAGGTCTCCCATTTCGTGAATTAAATTACTCCCAGCATTTGCAGAGAGAGAGAGAGAGGTGGGGGGAAAAAAAAAAAAAAGGAAAAAAAAAAAAGAAAAAGACACACACACACAATCCTCAGCCAGATGCTGTATTTGTCTCAAGGCATCCTGCTAATAAAATATAACAAAGGCTGTTATTCCTGGTGAATGAAGTGCCAAACTTTAGACAAAATTAAAAAAAATAAATTAAAAAAATACCGTGAGGCTACAATCAATATATAATCTTAAAAATCGGGTTTGCCAAAGTGTTTCTCTAAGTTGCTGCTGAAGATCAGTACCTGTTCCCTTTCATTCCCTGCTTTTCCATTGGAAACTATGATAATGGAATGTGAAGGGAGGAAGAGAAAAGAAATGCAGCTGCTATTCCCGCCGCTGCTTTAGCTACAAATAAAATGACAGAGTGAAGTGAGCTCGTCCGGAGACACCTTCATCAATTAATTCCCCTAAAGCCAACGCTGATTGGACACTCCTGACAGGTGATGCAATAAAAATTGATATTCCACCCCTTCCCCCCAAAAATCTCCCGCTAATTAGCATACCCTTATACTGCCACCTCCCCTCCCAAAGTAAATAATACAGTTAGTATATAAATCTTTCTATTAAACAATCCGAGCTCAAACACACTCAGACCTCTCAGAGTTCCCCGTCGCTAGCTTCCGAGGAAGGATTTGTAGGCTTTTTTTTCCCCACACCGTTTCGCGTATTTTTAGCCTGTTTTGGACTAAACGTTGCTCTTTTGTGCATGCCGTGAATTTAAAGGACACGAGTCTGATCGCGGCGATGGAAAATCCTGCGGTAACGCAGCCGCTTTAGCCCGGCGGTTGCTTCTGCATTGTGTGGAAAAGGAAGCGGAGCGAAAACGTGCAGAGCAGCCTGGTATTTCCCTTTCTGAGGCTCCGAAGTTAAACGCTCGGTTCTTAACGAGAGGGAATACTTACATTTTCGAGTTTCTCTCGATTTTCCTCTTCTGCTTAATTAGCTTTTTACAGCCGGGGACTAAGGTTATTTTGCTGCCTGAACACCACGGGTTCCTGCACCGTGATACTGTAACACTTTTAACTGAAATTCTGCCCGTAATATTGCGGGAGGGGGGAGGAGGACGCGGGCTCACGTCAGACCCATAACAAAGCATAGATAAGCGAGAAATGTATACACTTTTCGCTATTAAGCGTGCTGGATCGCGAGCTGGAACGTCCTATAGTCCCAGAGCCCACGTCAGGATTCCTGCGTGCTGATTGCTTCCAGCAGAGAAAAGAGAATGTAAAATATCCAAGGTGCTTCCAAGAGCCTTGACGTAAGAAGAAAAAAGTGCTGGCACACACAATGCGCGGTATCGCGACGGGCTAGGATGCTGCTGGCTCGCAGTCCGCCTGTTCCGCTCGGAGCAGCCCCGCCGCCGCCTTTGGATGCTCCATTTGCAGCGGCCCCCGACAAACCACTCGCAGCAGCGACGCGGAGGGTT